CGCACCTGCCTTCATGCTCTCCCCTACCTATTTCTGACCAAAGCCACTTTAGCACAAAAAGCCACCCCCCTTTCCTGGACAAGAAATTACAAAAAAACACATTTTTTTTTTTCTGAGCAGACTAGAAAAAGATACCCCTTTTAGAAAAAGATGCTTCTTAGGGGGAAAGGGGAGGTCGAGGCAGTCCTCAGCCAGGGTCCATGGCACCTGGCTTGGCAAGGGGAGTGCGGGCTGGGTCTCAGCCCCTGCTGGCTCCCCGCAGCCAGGTGTCCTGTGCAAAGCACCAGCAGCACAGGCTGGCAACCAAGGCAGTAGCTGTGATTCTTGGATGCCCAGAGCTTTCTCACGCATGTCCATCAACATTCCTCTCTTGGGCTGCGGTGGGCTCCTTGTGGACGCCTTCCTCTGGCCCATAAAACTTCTGGAGGGTGCGTCTTGTGAAGCACCATGGATGTGGACACCCCTTCTAGCCCAGAGGGCTCCCCAAATTGCAGAATCCTTGTCATCCTAAAGTGGAGCTCTTTCCCCACTCCTCCCTGCACCAAAGCTGTACCATGACATAGAGAAGGACCTCACGGAGACATAGAGAAGGACCTGTCTGCCCCACCGTGTGGCACTAAGGCTCCCAGGCAAACAGCTCTTTCAGCTGGTGTCCTTGTCTACTGCTCTTCACAGGCTTCAGGATCAAGCATAGGATGTGATTGGGCCAAGGAACAATGAAGCCCTCTCTTTCCTTTCAGCATCAATGAGCAAATCTCCCCTTCACGATTCCCTGTCTCCCTTCCTGAAACTAGTCTGCGCCCCGCCCCCCCCCGCCCGCGCCCCCCGAGTCCTCAAATGACATCGGGGGGATCCCAAGTAACACCATGATAGCAAAGTAAGTAAAACTCCCAAATACTATTTTTGTCCAAATATGCCAGACATCTGGGCGAAGAGTGTGGTGTAGGGTTTTGATTTCCTAGAACATCCTACCCCTATTACAAAAGTGACAAAATATTTGCATGACACCGGCTCTCCAGAGTGCGATAGGTTACCTTCCCCCTCCATTGAGAAAACACAAGTTCACCTCACGGGAGGCTGCGTAAATGCCTGTTTGTGCTCCGCGGGGCTGTTTTCAGTCTCAGAAGGCATAGTTATGGAAAACAATCTTCATGTAAGTGGACCCAAGCAGTTCTAACCTGTATTGCTCAAGAGTCAACTGTGTTTGCAGTTCACATTGGGGGTAGGTACATGGTTCAATATGTGGTACAGTCCAGTCTAGAATGAAAGGTCCAATTTATAACGAGGGGCTCTCATTTGTTTGGAAGATTCCAAAGTATTACTAATTATGTTACTTTACGACTGCAGTAAAAGTATTACGAATTATTATAACTAAATCCAAATTTTCCCAATAAAACATACCACACACCTTTCCCCCCTGTTCATCCGTTTTGGAACACTAATAAATGTATTGGTTATTAATCAGGTAGGGAGCTGTTACATTTTTAGTCTAGGTTGAATAAACTCAGAGGTATTAAATAGATTACAATTTTGCAAGAGAAAAGGAAATACTATTTTTCCCAAGATGACATTTTTGGGTATCATTGTCAAAATATTATCTGGTAGAAAAACATTGCAAGAATGATTAAACGTCTTGTGTATTTAATTTTTCTGTTTCAGCTTTAACTAGTGCAAGTCCTTAAAATCTTGTGAAATGTATTTTTCTTTTTAATGTGAATAAACATAAAGCCCCCAAAATGATATTGATGGTTACTAAAATTCAACATTTTAAAGAAAATATTTTAATACATTTTACTTTATGGATAATTTTATATTTAAAATCAAATATGGATTATTTTAGGTATCCTGATATAAATGTAGTATAATAAAAAATTGTGTTTAAACATTAATTTCGATACATCAAGAAATAGGCCAGTTATACAGAATTATCAATCGATAATTCAGATCCTATTTCTTCTATGGAACAAAGCTAGAAGGAATTCCCTTTACTGGTTTCCCCCTGGGGATATCTGGGTGTGGTTTATTTTCTTTTCTGGCTGGAACAAAAATATGCAGGAAAATCTTCTACAACTAAAATTCCTTGTTCTTACAAACAAACTTAAGGAGGAAAAAAGCAGCAGATCAAGACTGGCTTAATCGTTTGTTTATACTGGTGCATATACTGTATTGGATTTTTTCCAGATTAAAAAAAAAAGCCACAGGGAAGATATATGAAGTAGTATATTTAAGCTACCAGCTCACACATTTTAATAGCTGAAAGTATATAAAGATATGAAGGTGGAAGTAAAACAGTAAGCAGTTATGAAACATAACATGGGTTCTTATTCTTTATGGATTTAAAGGAAGCTAGAACCTGGTTACAATATACCACATACAGTTCAGAACCAAACAAAGGCTGCTTAGTTGTTTATTTTGCATTTGCTCCTTTTAGAAAGTGAGGAAAAAACAGCTATATGGGCACTCAAGTTTATTTTCAATTAAAATCCCTATAAATTAGAAAACATCTCATAAAACAAGGGAAAATGGAAAAATATTATTCAGAAAAAACTTTCTTAAATATATTTTTTTCTATAATGCTTTGGATTGTGTGATCAGTCTTAAAAGGACACAAAATAATAATTCAACCTCTGTGTTCCTGTTTAGGATAACACATAATAATGTTTTTGTCCTTTGGTGCAAGTAAGAGGAAAAATTTATTCTTGCTTAGTTTTGAGCATTGAAAACACTTGCCCCTCCTCCAAATTCTGCCATTTGCTCATGTCCCACATGAATAAAAGGATGCCACTTAGAAACCGGGGCCTTGCTGCCATTGTATTTTTTCTAATTAAAATTCAGAGTATTAAGCACAGTTGAGTACGTCCATGCATCCATGACATACCGTTATCACATACCGGAAGCTCCAATCAAGAGCACTGAGCAAGGCTCATTTCATAACATCATTAACATTCATTGTATGCTGTGGCTCAGAAAGGCTTTGTCAAAGCAGATAATAACAGCCTGTCAGGAAAGTGCAAACAGAAATTTATATTAAATTGTCCTTTCTATCCTTTTTTTTTTTAATATGGGAATCTAGCTGCATTTCCAGTATATGGGCTCAGAGCTTAACTTAAAAGACTTCCAGGTTCTTAAGACTGCAAAATATTACAAAGAAATAGAGTATATTTTTTTAAAAGTTAAGTAAGAAATATTTGAGTAACTAGGTGGGGGTAAAGTATTCGAGCATTATGACTGTATGAATGAAAACAAAAGAAGGTGTAGCTCAGGAGTGTGAAGGTAGATAGAACTCATGAGTCATAAGGCAGAGTGTTTAATTTGGATCGAGTCAAATGAAAACATTGCTTTCTTTTCCTTAAGAACTTTTGATGCTCTTTATGTTATAATCTCAGAAAAGAAAGCTCTGTCATTAAAACATTTTTTTCTTTTCTACCCTGTTGAGTGAGGACGCCTGGGGAGACAAACTTCACACAGTGGCTTCCTGAATGTAGTTGTAAGTATGATGTTATCTGGAGAGAATTTACTTCTTTAGACTCAATACTTTTCTTTGCCGTGTTCATTGATCACACGTATGTGCTGAAACAATAAAGAATTTAATCATGCATCAGTTTCTTAACAAAATATGAGGCGCAGACAATGTTATGCAATAATAAAGACCATCATCCTATATTGGTTACTGTTTATTTAAATTCTAGAAGCCTGATGCACGAAATTCGTGCATGGGTAGGGTCCCTAGGCCTGGCTGGTGATCAGGGCCGATCTGTGGGGTGACAGGTGGGGTGATCGATCGGGAGACCCCACTGGCACCCACCTTGGCTGGCCTGGCGCTGGCTGCTCGCCAGCCCCGCCCCCCACTGCCACCACCACCGGTCACCTTCCTCTGTGGGGAGATCTGCCCCCTCCCCCCCCTTGCTGGCACTCACCTTGGCTGGCCTGGGGCCTGTGGGCTAGGGGCAGCTCCTGCATTGAACGTCTGCCCCCTGGTGGTCAGTGTGAGTCATAGCAACCGGTTGTTCTACCAGTTGTTTTGCTGTTTGGTCGATTTGCATATTAGGCTTTTATATAGGATATTTGTGTATGTGTGTGTGTGTGTGTGTGTGTGTGTGTGTGTGTGTGTGTGTGTGTAACATCTAAAGAAATCCATTCGAATGCTTGACAAAAATGCTTTATTGTTTTAGTTTTGAGCCTTTTTCTAAATTTGGCTCCCTGGCAAGTGAGGCGGGGAACGTTGGAGTCTGCAGCAAGCAAGCCTTCCTGCTCGCTTCAGTGCCTGGCTGCCTGCCGCCATCTTGGCTGACAGTTAATTTGCATATACTCACTGATTAGCCAATGAAAAGGGTAGCGGTCGTACGCCAATTACCATGTTTCTCTTTTATTAGTGTAGATATTTGTGTATTTGTGTGTGTGTGTGTGTGTGTGTGTGTGTGTGTGTGTGTAACATCTAAAGAAATCCATTCGAATGCTTGACAAAAATGCTTTATTGTTTTAGTTTTGAGCCTTTTTCTAAATTTGGCTCCCTAAGTCTGTAACAACCAGAAATGCTTAGGGAGCAGTATGTTTAGCTGTGATGTAGATAGAAGTCTCCTACTGGTAAAATTACAGGGTGAATGGAGAAACAGCCATAATAAAAAAATAATATGTACTCTTATTTGACCCTTTGGATAGTAAGAAATGTGTCAGGAATATTTTGGTTGCAAGCAACAGAAATGGAGTCAGGCTAATATAAGCAAAATAGGGAGATTTATTGGTAAGATACTGAGTAGCTCACAGAAGCAAAGAAAGTGCTGAGCAATGAAGGAAATGAAAGACAGGAACAGGGGTAGCTCCAGACCTCAGTCCACTGGTTAAGCCTCAAACTCCTTGGTCTCTGTGATTTTGGTTTAAGTGTCTATTGAGAAAGAGGAGGGGGGGAGAGGGAGAGAGAGAGAGAGAGAGAGAGAGAGAAGAGAGAGAGAGAGAGAGAGAGAGAGAAAGAGATTGGTCTGTTTTGGGTAATATGTCTAGATCATTCAGTAATGGTCAGGGTCACACAGCCAGGAGTCAATGTCTATATGTGAAAACTATGGTACAGAAGGTCACCAGGGTGCAAAGTCCTGGATGCCTAGCAAAGGACAACTGTATTATAGGACCTTGTTCCCAGGGTGACCTTTCCTCTCCAGCATATCGCTGTTCCTGCGGTTCGGACCCCTGACCTTTCATCCCTAGAGATAACATCTAGGCCTCAGTTGTGCTTCAGCTCCAGGCCCGGAAAAGCAACAAAACCAGACAAGCTAACCTCAGGGCCAGCTGCCTTGACTAATGGACCCCCTGTGCCAGCCAATCAATCAGTGGAGACCTCAACACTGAAAGACACATCTGAAAAGCTGCTGTGAATATCTGTGAATCATCTATTGAGATCTTCCCCCGGGACTTCCCCTAAAATCTCCACCTTTAAAACCCTTAGGACAGAAAACCCATCACACTCTCCCTCATGGGAGCACACCACAGTTTTCCCTCCACTTCCCCAAACCCCGAAGTGTGTCACCTTGACTTTCCTCACTTCTAAGCTCCAAGGGCCTTTCTTTTACCTAATTTGTTTCCTAAGCCCATTTCTCCTACAAATTACTTCTTACACCTCTGTGATTTTCCAAATAAATGTTCTCTTATAGTTTAAGTCTTGGCTCTAAATTCTTTCTTAGCCACAACTCAAGTACCGATGTTGCTGAACCCAGGTCTAGTGTGACCCCACCAGTGTAACCCCTGGTGCTGTTCCTGCCACCAATAAAACTACTGCCCCCAAATTGGGAATAGCTATAAGCTAGCTGAATGCCACTCGAATTGGTACCTGCTAGATTTCAAGCTCCCACACAAAATAGGTTATAGAATATTTACCACTAGGGGTCCAGTGCAAGGATTCGTGCACCAGTGGGTCCCTCGGCCTGGCCTGCAGGGATTGGGCTGAAACTGGCTCTCCGACATCCCCCAAGGGGTCCCGGATTGCGAGAGGGTGCAGGCCAAGCCGAAGGACCTTACCAGTGCACGATCAGGGATGGGGAGGGACCACGGGAGGGCTCCAGGGAGTGGCCAGCCTGTCTCGCCCAGTTCTGATCAGCTGGACCCCAGCAGCAAGCTAACCTACCGGTTGGAGCATCTGCCCCCTGGTGGTCAGTGCACGTCATAGTGACTGGTTGAAAGGTCGAATGAATAGTTGGACACTTAGCATATTAGGCTTTTATTATATAGCATTACTGTGGGTAAGTAGGCATAGTCAATGACTTGGAGAAAAATCAATACCAAGCCATAGTTCTGCTTTTGGCTTCCTTATTTTTTTAGTATAAAATAGAGCTCATAAAAAATAAAAATAAAAGTTAAAAAGAGATAATC